TATATATATATATATATATTTAATGCACTGGATTAGTTATTGGAGTAAACTGGTGCTCTAAAGTCATTTCTGTGACATCTAAGCATTTCTTTATTTTTATTTTTTACTTTTTTTATTGAGACAGGGTCTTGCTCTGTCACCCATCCTGGAGTGCAATGACATGCTCATGGCTCACTGCGGGCTCTACCTCCCGGGCACAATTGGTCCTCCCACCTCATAGTTTCCCAAGTAGCTGGAACTACAGGCGTGTGCCACCACCAACCACACCCTGCTAATTTTTTTGTATTACTGGGAGAGACGAAGTTTCACCATGTTGCCCAGGCTGGTCTTGAACTCCTGAGCTCAAGCAATCCACCTGCCGCTACCTCCCAAATTGCTGGGATTACAGGCATGAGCCAACATTTGCCAGTTTTATAGGAAGAAAAAAAGAATTGCCTTTCTAGTCACTCTGAGAAGAAATTAATAATCCTTAAAGTCTCTAGAGACTTTTTCTTCTAAAAAAAAATGGATATTTGTACCTTTTATTGTAGTCACTAGTTCTCTTTGTGTCATACTGTAATTATTCATGTTTGCTTCAGCAGATTGTGAATTCCTTGAGGGCAAGAACTGGGTGTATAGCAGATGCCTAAGATATTGGTAAAAAATGTTTGAGAAGTGAGGGGGCGGGCATGTTGGGGAGGAAGAGATTTCTACGATTTAATCAGAACCCAACTGGTCATCAGGGATAAGGAAGGGGAGGGCAGGAGTAGTTCATATTCAGAACCATCTTTTCTAATTTCCTTTCTTTCTTTCTTTCTTTCTTTTTTGGGGGAGTGGGGGAGTGACAAACTGATGGCTCACTGTAGCCTTGACCTCTCGGGCTCAAGTGATTCTCCCACCTCAACCTCCAGAGTAGCTGGGATTACAGACACGCACCACCATGGCTGGATAATTTTTGTATTTTTGGTAGAGATGGGGTTTCACCATGTTGGCCAGGCTGATCCCAAATTACTGGGCTCAATTGATCTGCCCGGCTTGACCTCCCAAAGTGCTGGGATTACAGGCATGAGCTACTGCACCCAACCCTAATTTTCTTTTGCATAGAAGTGATATGGTAGTGTGAGAATAAGCTCAATTGTATGGGTTTGTTTTAGTTGTTTTTTACTCACATACTTTAAATTATTACTGACTCACAATCTGTCCAAACTGGAAACCTTTAGAGATAAAGGAGAGAGGTCACATGTTTTAGATTTCTGAGATAGTCTTACTTTAAAATTTTCTGTGCTATTGTTCTCTATGGTATAATTCATGGAGATGGAGTAAACTGGTGCTCTAAAATCATTTCTATGAGATCTAAACATTTCTTAATTTAATTTATTTATTTTTATTTTTTACTTTTTTTAAATTGAGACAGGGTCTTGCTCTCTCACCCATCCTGGAGTGCAGTGACATGCTCATGGCTCACTGAATCCTCTACCTCCCGGGTTCAATTGGTCCTCCCACCTCAGTTTCCCAAGTAGCTAGGACTACAGGCATGTGTCACTACCCACCATGCCCAGCTAATTTTTTGTACTTTTGGGAGAGACAGAGTTTCACTATGTTGCCCAGGCTGTTATAATTCATGGAGATGGGTAATAATTTTTTATTAAAAACATGTTTGCTTCAGCAGATTGTGAATTCCTTGAGGGCATGTATGTAAAAATCTATGTAAAGAAAATTGGAATAAATCATATGTCATAGTTTTGTAATGGGGAGTGTTGAACATATTAGTGAAACAGAATATTTTTAGAATTACTACTATTAAATTATATTTAACTTATGAATTTTTAAATTTTTTTGGATATGAAGTCTCACTATGTTTCCCAGGCTGGTCTCAAGCAATCCTCCCCCAGTGCTGGGATTTACAGTTCTTTTTATTCTTGATCTTTAAAATGCCTAACTTCAGGCCCAGGGCGTGGTGGCTCATACGTGGAATACCAGCACTTTGGGAGGCTGAGGTGGGTGGATTGCTTGAGGCCAGGAATTCAAGACCAGCCTGGGCAAAATGGTGAAACGCTGTCTCTACAGAAAAACACAAAAATTACCCAGGCACGATGGCCCACACCTGTAGTATGAGCTACTTGGGAGGTTGAGAAGGGAGGATCACCTGAGCCTGGAAAGTCAAGGCCACAGTAAGCCGTGATCACACCACTGCTCTCCAGCCTGGGTGACAGAGTAAGACCCTGTCTCAACAAACAACAACAACAAACACAAAGCCTAACTTCATTACTAACTGAAGAACTTTCTTTCCCTCATAGATCCTGAGATTACTCTGAAAGGTATTTTCATCCAACCAGTCTATTGAGAAGTTATCCATCTTTAGTGGCATTTTGATATAATTGGTAAGAAAAGTTTATGAATAGGTGAGCTTTGTTTTATATCTTTTTTTAAGAGTCTAGTTTTATTGACTGATTGACTGATTGAGACATAGTCTTGCTTTGTCACCCAGGCTGGAGTGTGGTGGTGCAACCTCGGCTCACTGCTACCTCTGCCTCCCAGGTTCAAGCAATTCTCCTACATCAGCCTCCCAAATAGCTGGGATTACACATGCCCACCACGCCCAGCTAATTTTTTTATTTTTAGTGGATGCAGGGTTTCACCATGTTGGTGAGGCTGGTCTTGAAATCCTGACCTCAAACAATCCACCTGCCTCTGCCTCCCAAAGTGCTGGGATTACAGGCATGAGCCACTGCACCTGGTCGATGGTTTTATTTAATTTTTAAAACACCAGTCACTATATATGTCTGTTACATTATGGTAAAAAAAACTTAGCTAATAGCATCATATGGTCATTTTAAAACTTCTCAAGAATTTGGGAAACCTGAGTGTAAATTTCAGTCCTGAGAGCCCAAGTCTTCTAGTAAGAAAAAAAAAAGGAGATTAGAATATTTAACTCATAGGACTATTGTGAGGGTTCAGGAAATTAATATGTAAATGAATTTGTATAATGTATTAATACTTGGTGCATAGTTGTTGAGGGAATTAATTTTATTAAAGTTCTGTTTTATTGAGTGCCTGGGGCTGTGATAAATTCTAGAAATGGCAACAATGCTGTGAAAAAGATAGATGGGACGCAGCTCTCTTAGGAATCCCTCCTTACCACTTCCAGCCCCAACCTCTCTCTACTGAGTATTACCCTTCTTGACCAAAAAATGCACTGGTGAGTAATTTGTTGCCTTTTAATAAAATGTCTAACAGGAATAAATATAAGATCTCAAAATGTATTTTGTATAGTTTGTGAAATTTAAACCATAGTATACTTTTTTGGAAAGGCAACATATTTAGGGCAGTGGAACTACTCTATGTAATACTGTGATGGTGGATACATGTCATTATACATCTGTCCAAGCCCACAGATTGTATAACACTAAGAGTGAACCCTAATGTTCACCAGAGTCTCAGGGTGGTAGTGATGTAAGTTCATCAGTTGTAACAAATGTACCACTTGGGTGCAGGATGTTTTGGTCAACGACTGATTGAATATATGATAGTAGTCCCATAAGATTATAATACTATATTATTACTGTACCTTTACTCTGTTTAGATGTGTTTGGATACACGGATATCACTGTGTTACAATTGCCTACAGTGTTATGTACAGTAACCTGCTGTGCCACTTGTAGCCTAAGAGCAATAGGCCATACTATTTAGCCTAGGTGCATAGTAAGCTATACCATCTAGGTTTGCGTAAGTGCACTCTGTGATGTTTGCATAGTGGCAGAATCATCTAACAATGCATTTCTCAAAATACATCTCTGTCGTTAAGCAACAGATGGCTATATATGGGAACTCTCTGATTTTGCTGTGAACCTAACAATACTCTAATAACAACGTCTATTGGCCTGGCGTGGTGGCTCACACCTGTAATCCCAGCATTTTGGGAGACCGAGGGGGGAGGATCCCTTGAACCCAGGAGTTAGACACCAGCCTGGGCAAGGTGGCAAGACCATGTCTTTACAAAAAAAGAAAACGAAATAAAGAAAAATAAGGTCTACCAGAAAAAAAATTCAGAAGAAAGAAAAAAACCCAAAACAAAAAGGGCAAAAGTAATATGTAATCATTTTCATTTTTCTTTGCCCAAAATTATTGTTATAATAGGTTTGTATTTGGAAATTATCTACTGTGATACAGACCTCCTGTCTTTTTTGCTGGGATTAACAAGGTTTTTCCATAAAGGTTCAGATCATAAATATTATGTGCCAAGAGGTAAAATCAAGAATATTATGATACTGATATCAAGGGTATCATATATTATTTCTACAAATTTTTACTGACAAAATTCAAAATATAATAATGGAATACAATGTTTTGGTAATACAATTCTGATGAGAAAACAGAATTCTTTTTTTTCTGGGATAACATTTCATTTAATTGGGTTCAAAGTTAATGTGCCCCATCATCAAAATTGACTACAAAAATTCTCCTTTAATACGCCTAAGAAGCTGTATATTAGCACACGTGTGCATTTCTATATCAAAACCATCTATAATTTGTTTTGTTTCCTCTTTATTCCTCCTTTAATGGTAGTGATTGATAGGTGTCAGCATGCTATTTGAAAATCAGTGTTTTCACAGTGAATGATTCTAAAGTGGCTTAATGGGAAATGCTATTTTCTGTGACTCATTGGTCACATAATTTTGACCTTTAGCTTTGGCTTGTATAACCAAGAATTTCTATCTGTTATGTAGCTTTTTCCTGTCACTGCTGGGTACTTTGGCCCTTCTTTAAACTTTTTGAATGTAATTTAGATTTTGTCCTTAGAAGGAAAAGTCAGAAATATTGTTTCTCAATAAATTTTGGTAAGTGATGACTTTTCATTTGTTTTCTTGATTAAAGTTGTACATAGAAATATGGTAACGTATTCAGATTGTTTTAATTGTTTGAAATTCTGTTTAAATTATCCCTAAGGTGAGAACTTAGCAAGAGTGTTTATATGTATCACAATTTTTTTTAAGTCTGAAACCTTTTTGGTTTTTCTTTAGATCTTTAAATGGATGAGATGGCTACTACTCAGATTTCCAAAGATGAGCTTGATGAACTCAAAGAGGCCTTTGCAAAAGTTGGTGAGTATTTTTTGTAGTATAACTATAGGAAAGCAATATTTATTTGGTCCCAAAGTTACTTCTCTAAAAATGTCACATGAATGCTTAATCATAAACATTAGGGCAACGCAGTTAAAATAGATGGGATAAAGTTTTGGAAGCTTTACTTAAAATTGTACTTTTTTTTTGGTCAAGAGTGGTAGCTGATATTATTTCCAATTTTATGTAGTATTTAATATAATCAAGTTTTTTAGACCACAATTCCAGTCCTTAACTGGTGACAACTATGTACGGCTCCTGAAACTTTTATGCCAAATTATAGTTATTATATTTTGTATATCGTATCTTTCTGAAGAGAAGGTTTGAAACTTTCAGCATGTTCTCAAAGGGATCTGTGACCCTTGAAAACATTAAATGATACTTTACCCTTCCCTAATTAGTTTGGTGTTATTGCCTTTTTTTAATGGATTTTCTGTGCCTACGGATAATGCAGATTGTTCTACCTTGCCGCATTAAATTATAGTTTCAATATAAGATGAGAAGGCATAGCATGCCATTTGGTTTGTCCTTTATCATCATATAACATGCCTTACAATTGAGCAGCTATGGAAGCAGTATATAATATTTACATTCCAAATTTCATGCTTGGGTCAAGTCTATAGATAAGAATGAGAAAGCAGGGTAAGAACAGACTACTAATGTAAATACATGAATCAACATGTGCTTAGAGATGTAATTATTATTATTTGGTAACTCCTTGAATAAATGGTGTAGAATTAGCTTATATGATTTGTTATATAAATCAGAATTTGCCTTTAGACCTGTGTTGAAAATTCCAGTAGTGAAAAATGAGGAAATACACATTTCTATTCCCATATATTTATGGTCAACATTTTCTATGAAGGCACTTAGTAGTAGCAGTGTACCTTGGGAAGAATAATGACCTCAGCCAGAGTGACCATCTATAATCCCATCAAAATTTTAACTAGAAAACACTGAATGTCGTGAATCTAACATGATTGTGTGTGTGTGTGTGTGTGTGTGTGTGTGTGTGTGTGTATAAAACTAGCAGTTAATTAACTTGCTGTGGATACCACTTACTATAAGAAGAATGCTACGTAGTTTAATATATAACTGCAAGTGAGTTCCTGGCTGCAAGAGTTTGTTTTTAATGTCTCTCATTCTGTCAGAGTAGTCTTATAATTGTTTTAGGAGTGCATTTTTGAACCTTTTCTAAAATTTGTATTCATCTTTCAGCATTAAGGGCAGTTTAATTTGTTCTTTATGAATGGAATTTTGGAGTAGGCACCATGCCTTATTAAGAACCTCATCTCCTCAAGTAAATGTTGAATATAGGTCTTGTCCTCATGTGCAGCATCTTGGAAATAACTGTGTGCAATATTCCTGAAAAAATAAAGTTAATTCAGATATTGTTTACCTGATGAGACTTGGAATACATTTTACCAGTGAAAGAACTTCATTTTCCTTTAAAAGCTTAATGACATAAAGAGGATTGACCAATTATCTTTATAGAGGAAGCAGTTAAATTGTATTGAGGGATCAATGAGAAGTTTGACTGTAAGAAAAGGTCATTGTGGAGCTATTGTTTAAGTAGACTGTAAGATAGGTACACAGCTTCTCAAAGCCCCTGCCAGGCATATGTTTGTAACATACTCAGGCTCTTATTACTATGTATGCTATAAAGAATTCTAGAATGCAGAATTTCTGCCTGTTCTGAATATTATTCTTTTGTAGTCTCCACTCAGTATCTAGCTCTCAGTAAATATTTCACTGATTGAAACCTAAGGAACTATATATATAGCCTTTTGATGTACTGGGATTTTTGTCATTATCGCTTTTTTTTTTCTTGTCTTTTTGTTTTTTTCCTTTTTGTGGAAAACGGGGTCTCGCTATATTGCCCAGGCAGGTCTCGAACTCCTGGGCTCAAGCTATCCTCCCGCCTCTGCCTCCCTAAGAGCTGGGATTACAGGCGTGAGCCACAGCGCCCGGCTGTCATTATTAACTATACATTCAGAGGGCCTTTGTTGTGAAGATTTTCATTACAGTGGAATTTATTATTAAAAAGGTTTTTGCCATTAAATTGTAGCATATGAAATTTATATATATATATTTTTTCAGCATAATAAAAGCTTGTGTGTACACCATCTTTCAGAAACTCATTTAAGGACCCAGCTGAGTCTTTCAATTTTCTTTAAAAAATCTGTACTTTTAAGTTGTTGTTAGTTATACAGAACCCTCAGGCAACTGTCAAAGGTGTTACAGAAATTTTTTTTCTAATTCAGGGACACTTTATTTTAAAAACAAGCTCTATAACTTATTATCCTGTGAAGGACAGTTGTTTCCTCTCCATGGGGGTGGGTTGGCAGAGAATAGGAAAGACTACTTTGTCCCAGTTCAATTGCGACAAAATATGGAAATCATTAGATGATTTTCCCCATCTATTAACAATAATAGCCTTGATTATCTCCTTAGAAATTCAGCAAAATCATTGTGTGTGGAGAAAATCTCTGTAATTATCGCTAATCATAGGTTTTGTTCAATCAATTAATAGTGCTTTGAAACTCTCTTTACTAGCAATAAATTGAGTATTAGAATTTAAAGTTCTCTTTTCACTCACTTTCTGCACCTGCTTAGTTTTAAGTTCCAAGCTCATGTAATTATTTTAATTTTTTCAACAATTGTTTCTAGTGCTTCCCAGTAGCAGAAACCTTAGTTCCCAGTTTTTGTACTTCATGTTTCAGTTTTCATTTAAATGCAGTAATATATAACTTTTTCTAAAGAAGAATAAAACCTTTCAAAACACTTAGGTATTAATATTTTACCATCTAGAAACTGTCTTTTACATTCTAAGCCTTTAATCTTGCTGTGGAAGCTCGCGGTCATTTGGATAATTACGTGTCATAAAGACAAATTCATGTAATGTAAATTTTCGCAGAGTTGCTTTAGTACTGCAAACACTTTTAAATTTGCCTTTTTTCCCTCCTGAGCACTCACTACTGAGGTTTTTTAAACATGAATTCAGCACTTTGGAAATAAAAGAATATTGGGGTTTCTTAAAATGACTAGGAATAGTGTGGGTGTATTCCTTTGAGGTTTCCCACCAAACTAAGCAAAAAAATTTTGGTTGTGTTGATTGTAGCTATACCAGACTTGTCTCATCCCAGGAAGTTGAGTTGTTTCAAATTACTTGATATTCTCTAGTATATAAAAACCACATCAGGATGATGCCACAAGGGAAAAAAAAACCCAACAAACATGGTGCTTTAGTTAATTTACTTTTAGTATTCAATAAATCGACACCAGTGCATGTTTGTTTAATTATGCCTTAAAAAAAAAAAGATAGCCCATCTAAAAAAAATGAAACTAGTCAGTGCTCTTTCATTGTGCCATCTAGTTAATTATCAATGGATTATTAGAAGTATAGGTCTCGGGATAGTCAGAAAACCATGTTTTGAAGGTGTGGAAGCTAGTTAGGAGTACACATGTGTGGGTGCATGGGTAAAAGCAAGAGCACATGTGTGTGTGAGAACACACATGTATTTTTAAAACGAGAGTTTCAGCAGGGGAAGAAATGATGGCCAAACTGCTGGAAATGTTGAGTAAGAAAAGGACAGATAAACATCTTTGATTGCCCGGTCTCACCCTCTAAACTTGTCCAGCTTTCTGCTGAACTTGACCTCCATCTTTGGAAATCCACTAGTATGGTGAACTCTAATGCAGCAACCTCCAGTCTACCCTTAGCTGGAACTCATTAAACTGCCTCTTATATTTGCTGCAGTGAGCTACCTCAAAAGGTATAAGTTGTGAGAGGCAAACCCCATGTTTAGCTAAGCATCTGGAGTTGTTTAGCAATTGCCTTGTCTAAGGTTTTAATGCCTAATGAAAGCTTGATTTTACTGCTTAGATCTTAAGAAGGAATATAGTTTAAATTCTGCTGCCTAAGTCTTTTGACCGAGTCTTAAATCAGTATTTTGTGAGCTTTCATGGGCATTAAGGATCGTGTGTATATGTGTATAAATCCATTATTGTTAGATAAATAGATTCCTTTTGTCATTTTTTTAGTGTAGAAAATTCGTAGACTATGTTGGTCAAGCCAAATTGAACTTTTAAATCCAGCTTTTCCAAAAGGATATTTCTTCTTTAAGTCCTAATGAGCACTGTCTTGAGTGGGCTAATAGAGAGGTCACATGTGTGTTGCAGATGAAGGCACACAATGTGTGACCTCCTCATAAAGAAAGACACCAAATTTAGACAGATTCAAGGATGTTTAAAGCAACACACATACACACACAATCTGAGGGTCAAAGAAAATCCCAGTCTTTCTTACTGTCAAATTTATAAGACAAAGCAGTACCCCAAAAGACGCATTTGAAGTTATAGATTGCAGCACGTACCACCTGAACATGGGCAGTGTAAAACAGCAGCTAAAATCAAAACCACTTGGATTCTGGCTTAGCTTTCTCCAGACAAGTACTTAAAATAGCTTAAATAACAGGATGCAAGGGGAGGGAAAACATTTCCTTTTAAGGACATGCATTCTTGGTGTGATTCAAACTTCTGCAGGAACATGGCTGTGTAATAAGTTTATTTACTTTAAGGTTACTTGGGGAAGGGCGGTGCGGGAGTTAACTAGTATTTAAAATAATACTTGGTAAAAGGGAAAAATGTTTCCCTTAATACAAAATGCAGATTGAACCTACATGTGTCAAGAGGGGGTGGGGGGAAGGACACTCCTTGTAACAGTTGGTTCTTTTCTGATGAATTCAGTAGTCAGTATGAAAAATGGGCCTGTCTGGGGCAGCATTGGGAGCTGCTTAGTGATTTTTTTTTTAAAGTATCATAATTTTCTTCTTTAAAAAAAAAAAACAAACACTTGGTCAGTTTACTCAAATTGAGCCCTTTACTTTCTGCCGGAATTGTATGCAGTGGTAAGGTAGAATTTCCTTTATCCAGCTTGTCCTTAATGTCCACCCATACTGACCATATTTTCTGAACCAAAA